TGATAAATAAAACGTGATACAAAACCAATAATTATTTTCTGCTTCTATATTTATTATAAAACGCCTAGGAACACAGCACAAGACCAACATTTCATCAAAGCTAAAATGCACATGAGGATATGGTGAAGTCACTCTCGCAGAACTTGGCTCAACCATAACGAAGATTCACATTTTAACATTTGGTACTCCACTTCATAAGGACGTTTCATCGATTAAGTTTTTCTATTATGCATGATTTGCAATCAGATGAACACGACGAGTCCCACGGAGTCTCTCTAACGCGCTACTGACGGCCATGTGTGTGGTCGTCATGTGGGGACTTAACGTGTTAACGTTTTACATTTGTTTTCGCATTTTAATTGCAAATTAAATGACACATTTGTGCCTACGTGCTTTTGAAAAGTTTGAGAACGATTGCAGTTCATTTATGCACAAGGTCGTCTTTGATTTCGCAATCAATCGATAACCCTGACAGCATAAAACTACCTGAAATAAGCAGGTGTTTAGGAGAGTTACTTTGTAGGCGCGAGTAGTGAGCTCCGGTGGGCAGCGCGCCCGCTCGCCGCCTACGCCGCGTGAGGAGCGCAGCGGCCCGCCGCTCGGCACAGGTGGTGGTTGGGCTGCCTACCCCCACGGCGAGCGGACGCGCTAGGAGCTGCAAACCGGTCGGCACTCACGCACGGCAACCCAGGGAGGCTGACTCAGCGATGGACTCACTCAGGCTCTCCTTCCCATTCTGCCGCTGATGCTTCAAAATTCCTAGAAACGATATCATAGAAAAGATCCAACTTCATGATAGCATGCAAAAAATAAACGACAAAAAACAAAGGTCGGAGATATATCGAAAGACACGATTCGTTAATTACTGTCACCGAAATTTACTGCGACCTCGGTCAACGCTGCTGTTGTCAGCGGACGCGTTACTCGTTCGATAATACTATCCTGTTGTACCCGTTCGGTTCCCGTCGACCTTCCATACCTCCCCTCCGAAACACTCACTCCTCGCAGTGACCGCAGCCTCAGCCGCCCGCGGCGCGTCGGCGTCCCCGCCCATCCGGGGGGGCGCGACCCGGGTCCCAGGGCGGCCGGGTCCTTTAGCACCTCACTCACTACCTCACTGCCCTTCCACGCTTCCCGTCTGTCCTGTTTTCAAAGTCAGCCATCTCCCGCCACGCCCCGCCCGACACCCCTCCCTGCTCGGGCCCCGCGGCCGGAGCCGGCCGGCGTGCCTCGCGGCGTTCTCCGGCGGACAAGGGAAAGGACATGTCGCCGACCACTCCACACGTCCAAGACCACTCCGGGTCGCGTCGCCACTCGCCGGGGTGGTGGACGACGGGACGGGACATAAAACAGGACGACACGGTCGAGACCGACCAGCGGAGAGGGAAACAAATTGTCAATTAGCACGGCGGCGGCGACCTCGGCGCGCTCGATCCAGCGCCTGGACCTTTTATAACAATTATTTAGCAAGAGAGGCTTCTAAGCCCTCAGTTATTTCGCCTGATTTTCCAGCGATTTTTGGCGGGACGAAGGAAAAGTTGCGATCTCACAGCAGCTGCTGCCGACGACGACGACGCATCCACGGCGGGTAGACTCTGCCCAGGCTCAGCATAGGAGGCGTCCGCACCCGTCGCCCGATCCCAAGCCCTCTCCGCGCGCAAAAATAAAACAAGAGTGAAACCGAATCCATCTTAAACCAAACCACTCTCGGACCATTATTCCCTCTCATGATAGAATGCGGAACCGAAACCAGACCAGGGCTCCCCCAAGGTGATTACTACTACGGGTGAAGACGCCGGCCGGCCGACCACCGCGGAGAGAGAAAGAGAGAGAGAGAGAGAGAGAGAGAGAGAGAGAGAGAGAGAGAGATACCAACCTGTGTTGGCGGAGAGAATCTTTTTTTCGGCCGAGCGTTCATCACCTCTCAGCCTAGAAGTGTAACGCGTCCCGTCCAGCAGCGGTGTCCAGCAACACGGTCATTACCGGGTAGTGGTTACCCGCCGGGTAACGCGCTATTAGCCAAAATAGCCACTGGCTGCCGACACCTCTTTTTTTCGCCTCTGTTTCTCCCCTCCTCCTCCTCCTCTGCGGACGGCGAGGCTCGCGCAGCGGCCACAGCCTGTGTTTAAACTGCTATGCCCGCCGATAAATTATTAAACATCGAAAGTCCCCCCCCC